ATCTGTATACGATGGTTCCCACGATCACTGACATACAGTGTTCCTTTCTTGTCTACTGCTAGTCCATATGGACCACTGAACTCCACAGGACCTTTTCCCTGTCTTCCAACTGACTTGATAAACTCTCCATCAGTAGAGAATATTGATATACGATTGTTCCACCGTTCACCAAACATACACGACATTGGCAGAGTCAATAGCAATACTGACTGGCCTGTTTAGTTCTCCCTCTCCTTTTTTCCTTCTTCCCAAACTGCCTCAAGTAGACTCCATCGACTGTGAAGACCTGGATTATGTAGTTGTCACTATCAGCTACATACACATTGCCATCTCTGTCTGTAGCTACATCATAAGGTTGGTTAAACTCTCCATTGTTAGAGCCCTTCCTACCAAAACTACTGGAGTATGTGAGGTCAGAGTTCAGAACCTGAATTCTGTCGTTGCCACAGTCAGCAACATACACCTTGCCAGTGTGAGGATGAACTGTAATGCCTTCTGGATACTGGAACTGAAGAGGTCCACTGCCCTGGGTACCGACTGTTCTGAGGTGTTTGCCAGTGGATGAAAACTGCTGAATACGATCGTTGCCACACTCTGACACAAGAATGTTTCCTTTGCTGTCTATTGCTAAACCTTCAGGATAGTCGAACTCACCAGGACCTGAGCCACGAGTACCAAATGATATCTTCTCTCTATTTGCATTGATGATTGATATGCAGTGATTATTCCGTTCTGCTACCACAACCTCACCTCCCTCCCTAACTGCTATACCATATGGTGCATTGAGGTCTCCAATGATGTTGGCTGGGGCAGTGAAGTTGGGTAGCACGGTGACAGTGAACGGACTGTTCAAGATAGGGTGCTCTTCTATTAGAATGTGTAGTTGATGTTCTCCAGTGACCTGAGGCTGGTAGCTGATGTCGTAGATGTTCTGATTTCTTCTCTTCACAGTGCCCCCGACTCGACTGCTGCCATCGCTAGCAACTAGTTCACACCTCAAGCTGTCTACAGGTCTGAGGCAGGCCTCTCCCTCCCTATCTAAAGCCTCCACAGAGACAGCTGCTGTTTGCCCTCTTGTGGCTATCTTGATGCCCTCACCTGAGGTTCGACACTTCTCAGGGCACACTGGATGACAGTACACCTTACCAAACTGCTGGCAAGATGTCACAAGCTCAGGCAGACTGTGAGCAAAATCCAGGTCGGCTTGCTCGGCAAGTGCCAATGTCTCTGGCTTGAAGCTGCCAGTCAGGTTGTTGACTTGTTTCACGAGAGGACTCTTCATCCTCAGAATCTCCCCCTGGCTGCCAGTACGTCGGCTCTCCTCCACAAAGTCCTGGCAGCTCCTCAGCTGGCCCAGTTGCAGTTCAAACCCGTCTCGCTGTGCTGCCAAGGTCTTCAGTTTCTGCTGTGCTGCCTGCTCAGCTTGACCCACCAGCTCTGTCTCCCTCGCCTCTAGAGCTTGTCGCAGGTGTGCCATGGCAGTCCTGATCTCTGCCACCACAGCCGTCTTCTGTTCTACGACTGCAGCACACTGAGTGTCTACCGACTCAACGGCTCTTTCTAACGTAGCAATCTGTTCTTCCACTGGCTTGATAGTGTCCACAATCACTTTATCTTGCTTGGCAAACGACTCGGGCACCAGATCATACTGGTGGTCGCGATGAACACGAACGATGCAGTCTCGACATATCAACTCGTCGCACGTCTCACAGTAGAGCTTTGCCTTCTTTGACGAATGAGTGGCACAAAAGAGAGTCTTCTTGAGAGGAGGAACGAGGGTTGTCACATCTCCAATCAAGGTGTCTAGGTCGATAAATTCGTGGGTTTTGAATTCCTCCCAATCCAAATGGATTTCCTTGCAGCGCTGGCATGCAAACCCGCAAGTACGACAAAAACAAACAGCTTCAAACTTCTTGCACTTGTTGCACATTGTTTGTTCGCTGGAGCTAACTTCCTTTAGGGCATCTTGGATGTCGAAGAGGTAGTGGATGTAGAAGGCTCCTTGGAGCCCCGGGACTCCGCCCACTGGCAGTGGAGTGTCCTGGCGACATTGTGGACATGGGAGACTCTGTCCCTCTCGTCCCCCACGTACCAGACGCTGCAGACACTGTTCGCAATACACGTGGAAGCACTTGAGCAGCCTCGGCTGTTTGTAGGGCTCCAGACATATTCCACAGGTGACCTGGTCCTGGATCTTCTGGAGAGCTTTCTCGGCAGCAGTGGAGGGTTTGGCAGCCATGGCTCTGTCAGTAGTGCAGCAGACAAGCTAGGCAGAGGGTCTAGTGAAGACTGAGGCAAGCAAGCTGCTCAAGAAAAAAGCAAGCAAAGGCGGTGGGCTAACTCCAAGAAACTGAGGCTGACAGGAAAAAGCCCTTGACTTTTCTGTCACTCTACCAATATTCACTATCCTAAATCTACACACTCTTGCATGCCTGACCTTATTTGGAGATTCTAGTGAGGTCATGAATACTGAAACAGGTGGTCTGATTGTAGGACTGACCAATCACATTACCCAGTGTGTAAACCAACAGGCACACTAACTGAGCAGTCGCCAGTGTGTCAAACACACTGATCAGTGATAGCAAAAAAGATCCAAACTGTGAGCATACTGGGCTGGTGTACAAATGCTTGCTAGCTAATACGAGCAGTTTTATATTTCGTGCATATTTGGGAATTGCGTTCAATTTCTAGTGAATCATGTAACATCACAATATGTGCAGTCCCCGTCACATATAAATAAATAAGAGATATACATAGAAACCCCCCACAGACGACTGCTAATTGATGGGCTGGCCACTTCACATTGCAAAAACCGACACACACACACACACACACTTGCAAACCAAGTAATCCTCACTGCACATCCCCACAGAGGAAGCTTTTGGACAGTGCTTCATTATGTACATTGTGTGTGTTGGTGGCATCTACATACAAGCTGGTTAACCTGTACAAGCCAGGGTTTCAATGTGAGCTTGCTCTAGCCTTACACATGTCGATAGAGGGTGTGGTCAGGAATTGACCTCTGACCTGTGAGTGAGGAGTCTGTTGTCACTGGAAGCGGTGAAGAGGGAGGTGTGGAGGTGCCGGGGGAGAGCTCCCTCTGCCAGCGCCAGGTCCTGCATCTTCTTTGCCATCTCCGGCGTCCCCTCCTGGACAGACCACACCCAACACACGTGGACAGACAGTGATGTAATGATGATGTAATGTTCACCTCAATGATGGCCTTCATGATGAGTCCAGCCGCCTTCACGATGGCCAGAGAAGGGTGCTGAGGAAGAGAAAAATCAACAAAGAATGACTGAGCAAATGTAAAGAGCTATTTACACATGTGTTAAGAACAGGCTGCATGGCAAAGATAAATAAAACAACACAACTACAAGGAAAAAATAGTTGCCCTGGGTGGGATTCGAACCCAGGACAGTCTGCAGTCTAGGTGAGCGCTCAACTAGCTGAGCTCAGCAGGTTGTCGAGGTTGTAGGTGTATGTGGTTCGATTCGCAAAGCAAAATGTAATCTCCCGATTACGTTTAATACCTGAAAGAGTTTGAACACTGTTCTTCCCAGACCTGCGGAGGGAGAGAATAATTAACATTATACTCACCACAACCAGTGGTAAACCTTTTTTACTTCCATGTGTGCAGCACCCTTCAATAAACCATGACGATTGTAAAGTAGGGAGAGTATGTATATTTACAGGCAATACAATCGACAATACAGATGAATGAGTACTGAACATATAATGGAGATGTACTGTATGTATGTAATATAATGAAGACAGACCAGAAATGAGCTCCAAAACCATGTCAAACTTCTCTGCTTCAGTTGTCTCACTGAAAGTAGAGATATTATCACACATTAGTACAATTAGCACCACATATACAGCGTACATGTATGAATATACTTTAAACAGAAAGTGACATTGTAAATATTAGTCCGTTTTATAGTGTGTATGTAGTGTATGTACAGTACAAACCTGTAGGGAGGACAGACGGCAAATGTGAAGAAATCGATGATGGAGCTGACTACCAGTGCTCCCGTCCCAAGTTGCTGCAGAGAAATAAACGTTGGCTCTTATCCACCGAACATTACATCACTCTCACTCCCTAATTACATCATTTACTCCCACTCCCTAATTACATCATTAATTCTCACTCCCTCATTACATCATTAACTCTCACTCCCTAATTACATCATTTATTCCCACTCCCCGACTCTCCCTGTGCAACACATCATCACTAAAGTTTGCCAGCGGACTTCGTTAATTTTACAGTTTCAAGGACAGGTTTTTTCGGTGTAGCATGCAACAAAGTAAGTAGGCCTTTAGTAAACTGGGTCTAGAATGGGAGAATCATCATATCTACTAGAGTGCAGTGCCCAAGAGACATCAGTCTCACTCCTAGTACAACACACTCTTCACTCAGGGAAACTATACCATTTCATAGTGGGTCAAGGATAGGGTTATTCTAAAGAGGACACATTTTTCTTTACCGAACAACAGTTCTTTAACCCCTGAAAAGGACACGTAAGTAAGTGTTCAGCTTATTCTATAAACATACTCACCAGTCGTCCAAATCCGCCAGCAGCCACAACAAAGGCTCCCGGATGATCTGCAACCTGTTGAACACCATTACACATGACTATATATAGTACACTCTAGTACACTGACAAAAGAAGTCAGATGTACAGTATGACACTCCACACTGTCACACTCTACCCATACCACTGTTGTTTGGTCTACTCATTAACCCTCGGCGCGCATGCGCAGCGAGGGTACTGTAGTTGGGTTTGTCTGTGTGTGTGTGTGTCTGTTACTCTCAATCTCACTTCTCGAATGTCTGTTCGTCTCACAAACGATACCATCTACCCAACGGGCGATGAAGGTCAGAAAATAAAGGCAGTTTTCTCTGAAAATGCTCCGTTGCAAAGCTAGAGCGCTTCCAGCATTGTATGGCTAATGCCGGTAGTCGCCATTTTATCGCTGGCGGATAATGCGCATGCGCTTATATTTAGCACAGGCTTACCCCTCGACCGGGTCCGCTTGCTCTGTCTATCTTGAAGGCACAAGAAGTCACAACGGATGACGTGTATCGACTCTCGCGTGCTATCTACTACTGTAGCTAGCCCGTGTCAGACTCTCTGCGAGCTACTTCGCCGAGGGTTTGCACTTTAGTGCTTTTCATTGGGTCTGTCTGTCTGTGTGTCTGTCTGTTACTCGTCATCTCACTTCTCGAGTGTTCGTTCGTCTCACAAAGGATATCACCTACTGAACGGGCAATGAAGGTCAGAAAATATGTGTGGTTTTCGCTGAAAACACTCCGTTGCAAAGCTATAGCGCGAACACAGTCAGAGTATAGTGTAACCTGTACCTTTGCCATGTACTCGATGTCTTTGTATTTGTAGTCAGTGAGAGTGTGGCCAGTGATGTCCACCTGACTTACACCGTACCTGCGAACCTGCCAGAGAAGACAAACGATGGAGGGCGGAGAAAGAAGTGAGTAAATGGAAACTAGTCACCCTCCAAATAACTCTCTAAAGTCTGCCACATACTAACACTTTACCCTTCAAATAACGGACACTTCTTTAAAAGGACACTTGGTTCTGCCCTCTGCCCCACACTAATACTTCAGTGCAGGCAAAAAAGGGATGTCTCTGAATAAAGGGCACTTATAATGTCCCAAAGATACCCCATATTCAGAGGTTTACACTGTTTACATAAGAGGGTGGCAGGAAGAGGAAGGAGAGAATCCAGGGCTAGGGACTCCGTAGGCCTAACTTGTTCTCTCCACTCACCACTAGGAGGACCTTGACTTTGGCCTCGTCCCAGTGGAACTTGGCTGCATCAAACCTCTGTACACATGTATATACACACACATAGAGGGAGTCATATACAGTACTAGGGGAAGTATGGAGTCAAAGGATGTATAGCTGACCTTGTCTGTTTCATTTCGAGGTTTCTCACAGAACAACGGACTGAACATCTGCACACACCGACAAGGAGGGAAGGAAGGGGAGGGGGGAAAGAGGTGTGAGAGGGGAAGTGAGGGAGAAGGGAGAGAGGGAGGGAGGGGGAAGAGGGGAAGTGAGGGAGAAGGGAGAGAGGGAGGGGTGTCATGAACTACGTAACGAGGTGCTTGGATGTGTGCCCATTTACAAAGAGGGGAGAAAGCAGAGAGAGGGAGGGAGGAAGAAGTGAGTTGGAGGAGGGAGGGAGGGAGAAGTGAGTTGGAGGAGGGAAGGAGGAAGAAGTGAGTTGGAGGAGGGAGGGAGGAAGAAGTGAGTTGGAGGAGGGAGGGAGGAAGAAGTGAGTTGGAGGAGGGGAGGGATGTGAAGTCAATGAGGTGCAGAGGTGTGGACTGACCAGAGTGCGAGTGAGGACCTCAGGTCTGAACTCAGTCGAGTAGGTCATCTGCTGAGTCTTCCTTCCTGAGGAAAGGACAACATGGAACCAATTGGGACAACAGTGGGACAGAAGAAAGTATCCATATAGTGAACTTTCAGGAGTTAAATTGCATACAAAGAACTGTTCTTGGGGAAAGGTGTCCTTATTTGAGGGGATTCCATTGTGCAGGAAGCATGAATCAAGGGATAGTTGAATAAAAGAGTAGGCAAAACCAGGCTAGTGGAGATGAAGTGGTGTAGCATACCTTTCTTCATGGTGATGATGAATTCATTGCTGGCCTTGGGACTAGGAGCAATCCCCACAAACTCATTGTAACACCACTGGGCCAGAGACGGAGGGAGGGTGGGAGGGAGGGAGGGAGGGAGGGAGGGTGGGAGGGAGGGAGGGAGGGAGGGAGGGAGGGAGGGTGGGAGAGGGAGAGGGTATGATTGGGAGGTCCCAGACCAATGACCCATATGCTCTCCCTTTACTGCATAGTACTCTTACATATCTTTGTTGCATTCTTTCTCAACAGAAACAGATGAACATGAGTCGTCTACCAGTGTTGGCTGGATATTTCATGTCCCCTCACCTGATTGGTGACTTCATGAGTGTTGGGGTTGTATGTAGTGATTGCCTTGGTCCCTATGGAGAACACCCTCTTGTACCTGTACATTATAGCACAACCAGATCATCAAGAAGTAGAAAGCCAAGAGCCCTGCCATTGTGGTCCTCCGAGGGCCAGCCGTCGAGGTTTTCTACAGGAAACAGTAAACCTCGGCTTTTCTTGCAGTCTGATTGGTCAATTCCAACCTAGCTCACTCTAAATATGTAACACTCCCTCATTTATAATGACAAATGGATATTTATGACAAAGAGAGGTGACGGAAGCCTTGTCCTGTGTGCAATGAAAGGTCAAGGGGCTCTCAAGGAGAAATGATTGCCTCTCTCCCCCTTACATTAGCGAGGGAAAAGTGGGTTGATTACTGGTATTAGACACACACACATCGTCTGTGTGTATGCATCGTAGACATATGTACACGGGTGTCCTGAGTGGTTGTGCTGTCTGTCTCTAATGCGCTGCTCGCAGACACCATCACATGCACGCACACCCACACAACTGCACTAATCCACTTTGCCCCTCCCCCTCTCCCTCCCCCCACTCTCTCCCCGGCCCTCAGCGAGCCTCCTGCGTCCACGCAGCTGCCCCAGCAGCCACCCGCCCCCTCCTCGCCAGACTCACTTGCCCCTCCACGAGTGCTTGGTGCAGTAGAACTTGGCCACGTCTTCGTTCCCCTGCGCCATTCCCCGCTCCTCGGTCCTCCACACACTCTCTACCTGCGCGAGGAGGCCAGGGAAGCCACTAGATGAAAGCTTATCAGCTCAGTTTACTCGCAGCTAGCTAGGCTATGGCTTGACAGTCAAGAACACCCTTCGTAGAGGAACGTCCATGAATCTCTTCTACACTCACGTGAAACCTTGAAGGTACGAAGGTCAAGACACTCGCACACACACTCTTGGAGCAGCCTCAGCCCACTGCGCATGCGTACTAAACAGTCAACTTCGTCGTCGCCCCCCCCTGCCCTGCTGACGGGTTGTATCACGAAACGAAATTTCCAAGCAGATGATATTGTATTCTTGCAAGGATAGAGAGCTGCGAGAACTGCTGCTGCGGAGTGGAAAAAGGAGTCGAGAAAATCCATAACTAAGTGGAATGACGCATAAAGTCGATTGTCGTTTCTGTGGTTCTCCCCTGTGTGCATAACTCATTCCCCAGCCCTTGAAAATGAATTAATCATGAAGCTCTTTGCGAATATTACGTCATCATTACGCTTAATGGTTAGAACTATTCTCTTACGTTACACTGAACTATTATGGGCCCAAAGAATAAGTTCAAAGAGTGGAGTGTGGACCCCACTG